CCTGCGTGCCGGAGCTGGCCGGGAGGGGAGCGTGGCCAACCGGCCCAGCCGGTTTCGCTGGAAGAGCAAGTAAAAGCCTCCGTGCCGGAGGGCCACTCCCAGCTCCTCTGCCGGTCCCAGGCTCTTTGCCCCATAGTCCTTGGCCCCAGAAGAGGAAATCCTGGTTTTTCCCCCCGAGCCGTCCCCAGAGGAGGCCGCGGTGGGCAGCGTGGCGGTTGGCGGAGGGGCTCGTGCCGCCTTGCCCCCCTGCTCACCGTTTCTCCCTCCGTCCCGCAGGTGAAAGCCAACGACTCCGACCAGGGTGCCAACGCCGAAATTGACTACTCTTTCCACCAAGCCTCCGACATGGTGCGCCGGCTGCTGCGCCTGGACCGCACCACGGGGCTCATCACCGTGCAGGGGCCCATCGACCGCGAGGACGTCAACATCCTCAAGTTCTCTGTCATGGCCAAGGACAAGGGGGCCAACCCCAAGAGTGCTCGCACCCAGGTGGTGGTCACCATCAAGGACATGAACGACAACGCGCCCTCCATAGAGATCCGGGGCATTGGGCTCGTCACCCACCAGGATGGCATGGCAAACATCTCGGAGGACGTGCCAGTAGAGACAGCAGTGGCCCTGGTACAGGTGTCCGACCGAGATGAGGGCGAAAACGCCGTGGTGACCTGCGTGGTGGCTGGTGATGTCCCGTTCCAGCTGAGGCAGGCTAGTGAAACAGGGAGCGACAGCAAGAAGAAATACTTCCTACAGACTACCACGCCGCTCGACTATGAGTCGGTGAAGGAGTACACTATTGAGATTGTGGCGGTGGACTCGGGCAACCCACCCCTCTCCAGCACCAACTCTTTGAAGGTGCAGGTGGTGGACGTGAATGACAACGCGCCTGTCTTCAGCCAGAGCTTCACTGAGGTGGCCTTCCCCGAGAACAATGAGCCCGACGACCTGGTGATGGAGGTAAGCGCCAGCGATGCTGACAGTGGCTCCAACGCCAAGTTGGTTTACTCCCTGGTGACGGACCCCTCCTCCAAGGGTTCCTTCACCATTGACCCCGACTCCGGGGAGATCCGGGTGAAGGCGGTGCTGGACCGAGAGCAGCGGGAGCGCTACGAGTTCTTGGTAGTGGCGGCAGACAAGGGCAGCCCCAGCCTCAAGGGCACAGCGTCTGTGGCCATCAACGTCATGGACAGGAATGACAACGACCCCAAGTTCATGCTGAGCGGCTACAACTTCTCGGTGATGGAGAACATGCCGCCCCTCAGCCCTGTGGGCATGGTGACGGTGATCGATGCTGACAAAGGAGAAAATGCCCGCATCCAGCTGTCGGTGGAGCAAGACAACGGGGATTTTGTCATCCAGAATGGCACTGGCACCATCCTCTCCAGCATCTCTTTTGACCGGGAGCAGCAGAGCACATACACTTTCCGACTCAAGGCGGTGGATGGAGGGGATCCTCCCAGGTCTGCCTATGTGGGGGTGACCATCAATGTCTTGGATGAGAATGATAATGCTCCCTTCATCACATCACCCTCCAATGCCACCTACAAACACATCCTGCCCCACACCAGCCCTGGCCAGCAGGTGAGCAAGGTCAAGGCGGAGGACATTGACTCCGGAGTCAACGCGGAGCTGACCTACAGCATCACAGGAGGCAACCCCTTTGAGCTCTTCCAGATCTCCCCGCACAGTGGAGACATCACCCTGGAGAAGGAGATCCTGCGCAAGCACCATGGCCTGCACCGCTTGGTAGTGCGCGTCAACGACAAGGGCAAGCCCTCACGGCACGGCACGGCGCTGGTGCACTTCTACGTCAATGAGACGCTGGCCAACCGCACGCTGCTGGACACACTGGTGGGGCACAGTCTGGACACACCGCTCGACATAGACATCGCCGGAGACCCCGAATACGAGCGCAGCAAGCAGCGAAGCAACATCCTCTTCGGAGTCATCGCTGGCATCGTGGCCGTCACCCTGGTCATTGTGCTGGTTGTCCTGGTGCGCTACTGCCGGCAGCGAGAGGCCAAGAGCGGCTACCAGGCAGGCAAGAAGGAGACCAAGGACCTGTACACACCCAAGCAGGCCAGCAAGAGTGGTAAGAGCAAGAGCAAGGTGAAGAAGAGCAAGTCTCCGAAGCCGCCCAAGCCCACAGAGGATGAGGAGGAGACGGGGCTGCAGAAATCGCTCAAGTTCAACCTCATGAATGACTCTGTCAGCGACAGCCCCCGAATTCACCTGCCCCTCAACTACCCG